TGCGGCTTAAGTTAAAACACGAGCAATGATCTAACCTACAATAGTATCAGGTTTAAAAAGCCTTTAGACATTTTTTGACCCGCAAATTCAAAGAAAAGGTTCCGAAGATTATTTAGTTATGATTTTGGCTGTAAACATAAAGCTCTGAGCGATTTTCTTGCCTCGAGTTCATCTTGAAAAAGAGCGAACAGCGGGAAGCCGGCTTAAAACATAAAAAAGCTTATGCTTGCCTGACTCATGATTTTCTGAGACACTTTACTCTCAATACTTCTCTTCGTGAATGAAAATTATTGTCTGTGTACATGTTTCAACGAATTAAATTTATTTTATTGATTGTTAGTAGTCCCTCTCGCAATTTTCATCGCTGCACCGGTTGTTTCCAGTGGAACATAAACATCGCATGGAGGAATACTCAAAACGCCGCGCGTAAATATCACTCGCTTTTAAAGATTACACATAACAAAATCATACACAGTTTAATGAATAAAGGGAAATAAAACCTAAACATAACAATTTCTCTATCATGTTGAAGCGTAAATGGTAACTCTATTAATCGCACTGCAAATTTGGTTCCTGTCAAAAGTGAGAACCCGTCCGCCTGGCCGAAAAGTGATTTTGGGAATTTTTTTTAACGTTTTCGTTAAAACCCCATAATTATTACCCTGCATATCACATAGGACCAGATTTTTCTAACAGAAAACGTTTTATAATTCAATGCTATAATTTGTTGTGCAAAGGAAGCGCCTGCTTTGATCGTCGTGGATATTGAATGAGTGCAAATTCTCTTGCAAAATTGTGAAAAACTGCAGAATTATAGGTTTAAATAGGGCAAAAAAGAACAAATTCTGTCCGAGGTCTGTGTACTGTTTACCTGAGACGTGATGAGAAACAGTATATTTAAAAGGCTGGTTTACACGCCACCAGATTCGTCGCCAAGATTTACTAGTAAACTAAACTTGTCGAACACAAAAAATCCGGCCTGATTTTTATTTTGGCCTCTCTTTTAGACAGAGGAATGCAACGTGTAAATTGGCTGCCACCAAGGATTATCGTGGCGCGTGTGTTTCTTAAAATTATATTTCGGGGTTGTCCAATTATCCATAGTCTCTCTAACGGAGCAATGTTGGAGAGACTGCTGAATGCCACATTATGATGCTACAGCTAATGCAAATACAATACACGAATAGGTCTATTTGTTTTCCAGGCCTAATCTACTGTGATGGAACATGATTGCTATTTTTCAGTGTACAAATAACTTGATGTAAAATTTGTTTCACTCTTGGACGGTCAAATTCTGATTTTTCTCTAAAATCACTCAGCCTTTGCCTCAAAAGTCCCTGATCTGTGGATTACAAGTTTATTGTTTGATTTAAATTATGAATTTATTAACGGAGGGGGGCGTAAGGGGGGTACGAATACCGCAATACCGCACATGGTAGCGCGAGAATACCGCAATACCGCATCACAATTTAGCCAAATACCGAACCCGCAGTTACCAATGGGAAATGCGACCCCATCCAGCGGCACATCCCCGTTAGCCTCTTATAAGGAAGAATCCCCGCCCCCCGGGCCCCCATGCTACGTAGGCTAAGCACACACTGAATACTAGTACATTCCATATTCCTGCATGCACAACGAGAAGGACGAGTAATAATTTTTAGACCATACGCAATTTATAACGACCTCACTGACCTCACTATTTGCTGGAATATCTGACTGATCACTTAGTTGACCCTCTGGATCCCTCGCCATTGTTTGACGACTGGCACGAAAGTGGCAGTAAGATTGTTAAGGAGGTTAACCAAGCTGACTATTTCCACAAGGTCCATGAGGTTATAAATAACGCGACACGTTTACGTATCATTGGATAAAAAAAGTCAATGTCGTTAATCATATAAAGTATTAACTGAGATTACAAGCCATACGATTTGTCTGGACTGTTTGCGCAATATACGATCCTCGACTGTGCAACTATAGGAAGACACGCAGGTCACGCAGGCTAGCTAGGGAGACCTTTTAGGATTTGTATCCTCTTGTCATGAAAAAGAAGCAGATCACCGCGACGCAACGACTTTTTCACCGCCTACCGCGACATAAAATTTAAACTTACCGCACCCGCTTGGACTCTGAAAACCGCAATACCGTACTTTGAAACAAAAATTACCGCAACACCGCACCAAAAATAACCCAATACCGCAATACCGCAAACCCTTACGCCCCCCTCTTAACGGGAGCTTCGCTTTTAGCCCTGGCTAAATCTATATATTATTATTATTAAGTTGTTATGTAAGCCTTAACCAGGCACTCTTTCGCTGCAGTTCACTCAACTTAAAAATTTCTAGACTAAAAGGGCACCGGTTTGAAACTTCGCGAAGTCAGATTAGCAAACCAGACTTTGGCAACGCCCTTAAATCATGCACTTAGCGTTTCAGAATATAGATGTTGATCACGCGTTAAAATATCTAACCATATAGTAACTGTTCATCTTAAGCGGGATTTTAGAGTTACCCTTTCGTAGTTATCGGGCTACATCTCGAATGAAAATTAGATAGACGCGTTACGCTCTCCACCTGCAGTTTCCTAGCTTTCCTTTCGCTGTTTCGCGTCCTGTCGAGGTTATAAACATTATGTATTGCTATAGATAGTTAAATAAAACTTACCAAGCAAAGTGTGTAAACCAAAAGAGTCATTTTCCTTAAGCCACCAAGATTCGAGCCGAGACTCTTCAGAAACCAACAAGGGGTCTAAATTCTGTCGTTTCTCTCCGATAATTAGCCTCTCACGCATTTCTCATCATTCCTCCCTGACGAACGCCTCAGAACGTCTCGGTATTCAGTCGACCATAGCCAGGAAACGTGATAGCGCTGCGCGCAGTTACTATATTCAGACCTGAAATATATATTATAGACCTGAAACTCAGACAAACAAACAGAAATTAACATTATCGAATAGTCACTCTGACGTCATTCGCGCGCTACGCTATTTCATGACTTAGCTTTTTGTTATTTCTAATCATGCGTATGTGATATATGTTATTTCAAAATCCCATTTCGATTATCCACAGAAAAGCTCCAGAAACGCTAAAACGGTTCACCAGAGTTGACATTATCTCAAATTGACTCCAGCGGCAATCACACGCCATACTGCATACGCAGAAGGAAGTCAATCGTTTCACTGAACATTCATATTTCCAGCTAAGTTGTGTACAGCTGTTTGTAGTGCTTGGCTACATTTTCAGAGAGTATTCTTTAGCATGCAATATGCCTTCGACTGAAACAAGAAGATCCATTCTTTGTTGGAGGAGAGCTTCCCTCGTCTTTGTGATGGTCTTGAAATTGTGCGGCTCAGAGGAATGTGAGTACATATTTCACATTTGTGTTATATTGTTTGACTTTGCATGTAAAATGGGCATGAGTCTCAGAGCTTACTGGCGAAAGCTTTCAGCTTTAATTTGAGCGTTCCATTGATAGCCGGGGAGGACTACCCTGTTAATGATAACCCTGTGAAACAAATTAAGGATGTTTGATGTTTGAGTTGATAAATACGAAAAGCAAACACAGCATATCACATACAAAGCGCGAGGAAAACTGGAATCAGATATCAATATGTGCCCCGGGTAGCTGTCGTAACAATATCGTCCACAATCGAATCTCACAGTACGAACGTCTATGAATAAATAGAGAGTTTTTTCTCGAGTTTCACCCACTGAGCGATCATTCTGTGATTCCCAGACCCATGGCCTAGGGGACATATCTCAAAAGAAAGTAGATTGGAGCATGCGTAGTTGCATTGAGGTAAATCAACGGAAGAAATATTACAGCAGCTACAAGCAAAGAAAATTTACGTAAAATAGTAAAACTTGAACACTGATTGACTCCGAAACAAACCCAAATCAGATATCGACCTTCCTCTTCTGAAAACCGATGTAATCATGATAAAAAATAAGTTAATTAATTAAATGCGACAAATAGAATTTCTAAAATGCGAAATATAATAATGCGTCGGTCTTATAACCTTTGTATTTTAAGTCCGTTGGATAATATTGATTTTGCCAACATCATCTCTACGGACCACGCAAACCAGTGGTCACTGCATTTTTGTTGGCCCAAAGAAAGATGCTGACTCTTAGAAAACAGATCCGAAGTTGCAAGATGTCTTCATTAAAATGTAACCTGTCTGTTCCGCCAATCGTAATGGATAAGGTTTAAATCGAATTTGTTTTTTAAAGTAGTTTTACTGGGAAAAAGATTCAACTTATCGACAGCATTTTTATGGCTAGAATGCGCTGCTGATAAGTGAACTAAGCCCACGTTGCTAAGAAGCCTTGACGGTATCGATCTTTAGCTGGTTCAATGTACGTTCTGCACCTTGCCAGGATAACACTACGCCGTGCTTATAGAAGAGTCTACGTAACTAGTAGAGTTATTTTTCCATTAAAATAGACCTCTTTTGGAATTAAGACCGAATTTTTATTCATGGTTCAAGTAGTAAATGCCTATGACTTAAAATCGCCCGCTAAGAGCGTAAAAAATGTATTACTCTAGTTGCAAAGCACGTTAAAACCTAACGGAAAGGGAGGGGAATCAGCTCTGTTGAAAAACACCTTCAGCCAAAAGGATAAAAAAGGAAGAAGCACACAGCATTGATGATAGGATGTTTTTCATTGAGACGTAGTTATTGCCTCGATTGTTAGCTTTCAAAACCATTTTTGACTTTCCCTAGTATTTCCCTCATTTTCAGTACAGAAGGCTTTTGTACTGATTGTGTCTAACTGGGTAAAATTGATTTTAAATATGCATTTTTTCCTCTATCTAGCTTCCTCCCTGGAAATTCAAGCATTTCAGCCAGCAGTTGTTCCCATAAGAGCTATTACAACACTAACACTTAAAACCAGTGTGGAACTGAATGTGGCGTCAAATACCACTCTTCAATGTAGATTCAAAGACATTTCTGTGCCGGCTAGGAAAGAGGATGGTTTTATTTTCTGCGAGACGCCACCAATGAGAAATACCGACAGAGTGCCTCTTTTTCTTGATGTTGATGGACAATTAATTAAAACTAAAAAGCCGCTCTATTTGCACGGTTAGTAAAGTCTAAGTAAGAAGCACTAGCCAAATCCGAATAGTGACGCGTCATCAGTATGGAATTTCCGTCGTCATTTCGTGTGGAAACCGGTGGTGAAATGTCGCGAAATGTCGGCTTTTTTCTCAGGCTAAGTTTATATCAGTATTAGCGGAGTTCTGGCGCTCCCGACGCACCTTGAGTAAGAAAATTTAGCTACCTATACATCCAAGAAACGTTGGTTCTGAGAAAATCGTCCGTACGTCCACCGCTTCATGTAAGCCGGGGTGAAATTTTGCATTTCAAGCACCCACGCGTTTCGACGGTAAAACGCATAGCCACCAGGACTATTAGAAAAAAAACAACAACAACAACAAAACCGATTCTTTCTTTCGACTTTCTACATTGGCGTGGATAACAGAGAAAGAGCTGGAGAGAGAGATAAAAAACAAAAGAGACCAATTTTATAGACATTTCTATAGCGGCGATGAGAAGAAATGCTAGCGTCCACCAAGGTGAAAATGAGTGGCTGCGAAAAAAAAAAACGTGAACAGGAACACATACAACATTTCCTCCGTAAAACGTGTAATTAGAAAATTTATGGAAGTTTCAACGTCGTATGTTTTAAGAAGTTTTTTTTTTTTTTGCTTTTGTTTTTCAGAACCGTTCAAAGTAGCAAACGTTACCCCTTCATTAGTTTCACCGGCTCAAAACATCCACTTAACAGTCAGCGGTATTTCCTGTCAAGATTGGTTACAGTATTTCGTCCGGTTTCAGACCGCAAACGGAACGAAAAAGACCCAGCAGGGGATCTGTAAGGATTCTGTTATCTCGTGCTATGTCCCTGAATTTTCACCCAATACACGGCTTCGGGTTGGCTTGACTCTCAGTAACAGACTGGTGGAGTGGGCTGACAGGAAGATTCTTATACAGTGTGAGTAATCTTTGATGAACCGGCATCGATAGGGGCGATTAGAAAGCCACTCAAGTAGCACCACCCCCATCCACCCACCCTTGTTCATGTTTGTTACGTCTGTGTTGTCAGCCGATACATATCACTATATTTGTTAATTATGAAAAAAGCGAAGGAGCATAAGCTTTCAAGGTGGTGGTTTCACATGCATCACATATACATGTACATGTACTTCAAACCCAAAATAAGAACGTTCACGTCTGGACCAGGCTATTCAAAGCTGGGTTAGGATAACCCAGGGTTAAAAAGCAAATTCACTTTAATTCTTTTCGCCTACAATTTGATAATTGGATGCGCTCAAAAGGAATAGATGCTTTTGAAAAAAAGAAAAAGGACAAAAAGAAAGCCGGATTAAAGTTTAACTCTCGTGCTAACTGGCCTTCGAACAACTGGGCCCTGGCTTAGCGCCAGCTCAAAATTACATATTCGTACATAAAATATAAAAAGGTTGTATTGTAATTTTACTTACGAGGTAGGAGAAGGGACTTAACTTAAAAGAGGTCTTAAAACGGTCTAGTGTTTTGCGTTTCAGATCCGATAGACGCTATGAAAAGTTCGGTAAAAGACGTGAAAACAAACACTACTGCAAAAGGATCGTTTGCATTCGTGGTAGTACTCAGAGATCGCTTTGGAAATCCCATTAAAGTTCTCGAGAGAGGAAACAAGAAGCTGACAAGGGTATTAGTTCGGTACGCGCCGAGGAACAAACCACAACAAATGACCTTCCTAAAGTGTACCACGACCATAAGGAATCACGGGACTGGTGATGAGTTTGTGTTGAGCTGCGCAGGCGCTGAAAAGGAAAGTATCTATTTTTATCCTTCCATAAACAATGTACCACTTGGTGGGAAGGAGAGATATGAAGCTACAACTACCTTATGCCCTGGAAAGAACGGTTGTGAAGGTAATTAGCTTATCATGCATACGGTTTAAGTTATGTATACAACAGCTATTCCATATAGTGTGAACAGCAAGGGCACAGAAATGGAGCAAGTCGTTCACACACATCTAGTAGAGTCATGCTTTCAAAACCTTTCACCGCCTTTTTTAGCTGCAGGCATGCCAGACTTTCTACATGTTTGATGAAAGCAATAAATAAAGTGTGTTTAAGAGTATGTGTTAAGCAGTTTTTAGATTTGTTTTTCAAGATGTGTGTAATTGCAAGGAGTCTCATTCGATTTGACTCAAACTTTTTGTCACACAGCTGAGACAGAGACCCCTACACTGGTCATAGTACTTGCTTGCCTTGGAGCAGTTCTTGTGATATCACTGGCGGCAGCGCTCATATTTGTCTGCCGCAAAGCTAAAAAGAAAAAAACATTTGTCTTGGAGAGGACTAAGGAGTTAGAAATGGACGTTCAGCTTTCTAAGGACGACAACGACGAACCGGTAGAGGTAGGAGCTTGTAATTGAAAAATTTGCTTCTTAACTCATATTGAACCAATAAAAATTCCACTCCACAAAGGTCATGCGATGCGTTACTAAACTTATGCACCTATCAATGTAAAGCCGGCGGGGGGGGGGGGGGGGGGGGGGGGNCGATTTGACTCAAACTTTTTGTCACACAGCTGAGACAGAGACCCCTACACTGGTCATAGTACTTGCTTGCCTTGGAGCAGTTCTTGTGATATCACTGGCGGCAGCGCTCATATTTGTCTGCCGCAAAGCTAAAAAGAAAAAAACATTTGTCTTGGAGAGGACTAAGGAGTTAGAAATGGACGTTCAGCTTTCTAAGGACGACAACGACGAACCGGTAGAGGTAGGAGCTTGTAATTGAAAAATTTGCTTCTTAACTCATATTGAACCAATAAAAATTCCACTCCACAAAGGTCATGCGATGCGTTACTAAACTTATGCACCTATCAATGTAAAGCCGGCGGGGGGGTGGGGGGGGGGGAGGCAGGGCATGGGGTGGGTATTTGACATTTTTCAAAAATTTGCCGTCAAATTCCCTGCCCACGGGCAAATCATTCCAGTCAAATGCAACCAAATTTCCCCACCCCGGGCTGCACATTGCTATCAAATATCCCAAGGCAGAACCCAAGAAAGGCACAATGAAACTATCTCCAAATAAAACTCTGCAATCTTTACTTATAAACGTTGCTGCATCACCAAAGATACATGTTCCTGTTACAGCTGCAATTATACGTTTTAACCATAATCCGTGTTACACTGCGTAGAATACAGAAACCTTTCAGGAGAAAGTCCACATTTTGTAAGTTAAAATATACCATTCTTAGTAAAGGGTACAAAGAAAGTCAGTTTTACAAGCTTTATACAGATCAATTGTACTTGCAAGAATCGACTTGGTTTCTCTTTACTTCCGTTTACTTTGATACCAAAGTATCTTAAGAGGTTCAATTGATCAAAAACATGCTAAAACAAACGAAATTTGAAGTCAAAACAGTGAAATCCACTCAGCTTTCGCTTGTTCCTGTTGGCCTCCATGATTTCCAGATCTTTCCAGACCGTACGGCGCATGCGTGAAGCGTGGAGGCGGGAAACATGTGTTCGGTATCAGTCTTTTTCGTCCGAGTCGGCAGTCAAATATACCTCCACGTCGAGCGAAAAAAGATTCAAATATCCCCTCCACTGGGAGAACAAGATCAGTCAAATGCCCTACCCCAGGGCCAACAAAGACAATCAAATCCCCACCCCATGCCCTGCCTCCCCCCACCCCGCCGGCATGACATTGATAGGTGCATTAGGGGATGGCTAATGGATGGATATTTGTCACATGCGAGTCTGAACTTACCTTCCGAAGAATGGCGGAGGAAGGATATTCTTTTCTCAATACTGTACCCTGCGTGTGTTATCTCCTCTTGGAAGGCGAATTTCCACCGATTAGGGTGTCCCGCTGGCTCCAGCATAATGAAAAAAAGTTTGAAAGGTACAACGAATCGTTTCTCAACGCGAATTTTATGAAGACGCAAAAGTACAAGTCGAGAATGACGACGGCTATCTACCTGCGATCACGCATGTTGCACGTGGGAAAAGAATGACCAAGTACGCTTCCTCAACAATTAAGGGTTTTATATTCCGATCAGATTGAACATTTAAGGTCACATCAGTTTTATCTCTACCTCACACAGCTTAAGGATGTTCTTGCGTTTATATTGGTTTGAAACTCTTTTTTTTTACAGCATTAATTCCTGTGTCAAGAAGCGTCGATGATGTGTAGCGCGCGTAATCCTTCGTCTTTAATCTTCGTCCCTTTTAGTCTGTAATACCATTTCCGTTTTACTTCACCTTTTAACGTCAGTGTTTGCTCACTTGCCTTAAACGTATTTTCATTACGTATCTTTTTTTCCAGCCCATAAATCGACACGAAAACTACGCGCCCGACAACAATGTTGAAGATATCGCAGCAGCCAGTGCAACTCAAGAAAATGTCTCAGAGGATGAAAAATCCTGTGATGAATCAACCACGCTATAGGATATTTTCCGAGTATTGCCTGAGAAAAATGCTGCCGACATTTTGCGAGGCCACCGCCGGTTTCCCCGAGAAATGACCTCCGAGGACCGAGCGCAGAAATACCGGCCATACTGATGGTGTGACTCTACGTAGACCTGAGTAGTGCTTTTGATTGGTTGAAGCAAGTTGGATGTAATTAAAGAAATGTCACGCGGTTTCTCAGGGCTGTCAGGTGGGAAACAAGTGAAAAACGTTGCCAGTGCAGATCGAGTTTGTTTATAATATCAAGTTATGGTTGGAAGTGATCATTGTTACCTCTTTTGATGTCCTCACAGCAAACAATAATGATGTGAATCTTGTCGAAACTCGAACTGTACATTTTGCATGACTATTAAATCGTCTTCTCGTTTTGATAGAATATAAAAACGTGACCGCAAATACTCGTCTTGGCAAATTTTATCACTTGTTTGGCCCCTGAAATACCACGTGACGTTCCTAAAGTGAGCGCAAAGAGGACAGGCCTATAGCTTTGTGATAATTTGAACCAAAGTCGAAGCCGAAGCCTAAGACTTTGTTTTGTTATATTTAAAATTTCTTTGCAGACCAGATCTGGAAAGACATTTTAAATGTACCAAAAACTGGACTTGATATTTAGGCTATTTTCGCTTTGAATTTCCCGCGCGTCACCATTTTGAATAATAATGACATCAATCAATCGTTTGAAACAGTATTTAAAATCAATTGCGTCACAGAATTCTAAGGGTGGATTTATTCGCAGCATTCACCATTTTCACATAGACCAGAATGCACCTCATTTACCCCCCAAATTTTGTCTCACCATGGTTTCTAACAACGTTTGTTTGTTGTTGGACAGGTTCTCTCCCTTTCTCCGAGAGCTAGAAGTTTTTCTCCGGGTGCTCCGGTTTTCCCCTCACCCTAAAAACCACACTTAGCAAATTCCGATTCGATCTGCAACGCCCGGACACGTTTCAACGAGTTCATAAGAACTTCTAAGTGCTCTGTGGGTAAACAAATTATAATATGTAGATTTAGCCAGGGCTAAAAGAAATTTAACAGTTAATAATAACTGTAAACAAAAAAAATCAAATCGTGTAATGCTAAACGGGGACGACAATGAAAATGGCTTTAAGACTAATAGATCTAATCAGCAAAAAAAGAAATTGCAGTTGCAGCACACTTTTTCTTCTAATTAGCAAAAAACAAATTTGCACGTGCAGCACGCTTTTTTGTCTTTCCCTTGCCGTTGTTTTGCACGACTACAACACTGATTTCTACGACTAAAACGTCAAACTTCCTAGTTACACATTATTTTTATGGAGGAATATATTGTCGTATGTGCTTACCCAATATTTTGTTTCCTGTGTTCATGTTCGCTTTTATTTTTCATTGCCGCTCATTTTCACCTTGCCGGCCGCTAGCATTGCTCATTTTCTCACCGTCGCTATGAATTTTCATGTTTTTCTTCCTACGAAATTCGTCTCCTTTGTTTTCGATAACTCGCCTTAGCTCTTTCTCTGTTGTCCACGTTAGTGTAAGCATAAAAAATAACGCCGAAAAAGACACGACTTTGTTGTTGTTTTTTCTTCTAAAAGTCCGGGCGGCCATGTGATTTCCTTCCAAATAAAACCTTGAGTTGCATTTGGGTTGCCATACCTGTTGATTGAGTTATTTTACATTGGTATGCCTGTGGTGCGGACGGACGGACGGTCGCTCGCTCGGTGTACGGTCACGTGATTACCAAATTTTCTCGGATGGGTAGATTACCACATTTCCTTAGCTATGGGGCTCCGCCGAAGCGCCGGGCGTGGAGCTCAGCTATTACAACTCTCATTTCCCCAGGGTGTTACAGTCGTCCCGAGAGAAATCGAAAAAAATGGCTGTACAAAATTCTGACGGGGGAAACAAGGTGCATTGTTGTCTATGTTCTATGTAAGAATCAATAGTGCAATTTGTGTTCCCCGCAAAAGTGCATTGTTTTCAGTTTCTCTTGGGACTAACAAACGTCTTTTGAGTAACTGAAAACAAATCCTTTGTGGGTGAGTTTTCAGGGGAAAACAATTGCATTAATTGCATCGTGAAATTTGCAGTGCATTTTAAATGCCCGCTGGAATTTTTCATTGTCTTGAAGTTGCATAAGCAATAAAAAATTCCAGCGAGTAAAGGCGACAGTTTCAAAACGAATTTACCCAAAATGTGGTGTGCGGGAAAAGAGAATTTCGCATCAATTTTTTCGGTTCAACTTCATTATTTCACTTGGGACAATTAACCTTACGTATTTCAGACATGTTTGAAACTTAAATCTATATGTGTATATATATATATATATATATTCCCTTTTTTTGCAGAAACCACTACACAAAGAAAATATAGAGAGAGGCTTAAAAGAGCTGACCAACATCGACAGGCATGGATCAACGACATTCCAGCTAGGAAACGATCAATCAGATGGTATCAGTTACAGCTTTGATATCATAGTATATGTACATCACTGAGAAATTAAATTTAGAAAAGCCAACGAAAGAAACGTTGAGCCGAAATAAAAATGAACAGAAGTGTTGGCTGGTTAGAAACTCGTTTCAAAACCGTGTCATATAATACAACAACGAAAACCACATTACTCTATCGACAAATGATAATAACTAACGGAAGGAAAAGACGCAAACTGCTCTTACCATTTTTCCACTCTGTCCATAGATGTAAGTCTTTCCTCCAACAATTTCTCTTCCTCTAGCTTCTACGGTTTTAATCTGCAGGATCAAAGCGGCAGCTAAGACACAACAACCTTCACTTAAAAAATGAGTTCGCGCTGTTTTAAACTTCAACGCTGTTCTTTTACCTTCGGCTTCAGTTTGTAAAATGTTGGCGAGTTTTTCTGGAGTTGAATTCTGAAAGGTTCTATCTAAGTTCATAAAAAGAGGAGTAAAACCGTTGTCTTGTCAGCGTTCACGTCCTGCGTAAACTGACGCGAAATTAGTAGTTTCAAGCTGTAGTCGTGCATCGATGGCAACGAAAATGCACGAAAAAGCGTGATGCACGTGGAAAGTTGTTGTTTTGCTAATCTCCAGCCTCGGATGTTTGCCCTAGATCTGCTGGGTTTGCTGGGTACTATAGTGCTTGATTGGTTGACGCAAATTTCACCCGAGGCACGACCAATCAGGAAGCACTACCCAGATCTGAGTATTGAAACGTCATCAGTATGGAATTTCTACTGTTGTTTCCCCCACGCACTCACTGGTGGGACCTAATTTTTCGGGAAATTCAAAATTACAAGTCGTGTATGCGACGATTCTGTTATAGCTTGCGTTTATTGCATTGCGAATCCATCGCTTAATTATTTGCAACTCATTGACAACTGAGTGAGCGGGCGTTTTTGGAATCTTTAATCACAAAAGAAGAAAACGTTGACATGCGCTTTTTCTACTACTGCGGCATATGCACAGGAATATATAAACAATGTTTTCCGACTTACCTGCACCGGTCTTACACCCTTTGATTCTTCCCTGGACAGTATACTGACAATTTGATAATTTCATTGCAGAAACGAAAAGTGAAGGATGAGACATTTTAAGCGAAAATGTCCTTGAAGATGAAGGCAAAAATACCTTTGAATTTACAAGAGTATTTATCAATACTCTCACCTGGAACATGGAACAATTGTTTTCCTACGTTGGCATGATTTGAATGTCAGCCTCAATGTGTAGTTATTGGCTCTGAGTCAATAGCCCATGAGACCAAAGGCCGAATGGGCTATTGACCCAGAGCCCATTCGGGCTCGAGGAATAATTGTTTTAGTAAAACCCAACGAGTTGGTAAAAATATCGAGACAAAATACTTTAGCTAGCAAAACGCGATTCAGCCGCCATTGTTTTGGTTTCCTACACCGGCGCTTTTCACTACTAGTGCGCTATAACATATAGCCTAGTAGTAGCTCAATCAATCAGAACGCAGCATTGATAATAGACCACTAGTTGGATATAGCCCATAGAAACAAAGTTGTGTGCTTAAAATCCTGACCTTTGAGCGTACGAGAAGCTAAAGTTGGCTTTGTTTTGATGCAAAACTATCTGCTTTTTAGGGTTAACTGTCGGTGTTGCAGAAACCATTATTAGATCGCTCTTGTGTTGTAGGTATTGTTCAGTATCTTTTTAATCTTTTGTATTACGCCATTTGGTGGTTGCACCCGTTCCCAACATCAAGGCACTACCGCTTTTTATTAAACGTTTGATTTATTGATATCGTGTTGACCACAAACTGCCAGCAAAAAAACAAACTTTACATGTAAGGAGCTCACGTTTTGTACCTGAACAATAGTTCACCCGGACGATCAAACTCATCCTACTTTTGAAATGACTCCTGGGTTCAAACCTTTCTCAGTTTTTATTATACTGAGCTATTTTAGGGAGATAGCACCTTTTACCTCGAGGATCGGAAAGAACCCATGCATCCTTGCTTATACTCAAAGGCCCAACAGGGACCGAACTCACGAGGACTTCGAAAGATCTATCTCTAGTTGTAGCTATACAGTAAAATTCCGAAAATAAGCCCCTCCACGTATAACCCCCTCCAAATATAAACCCCCCAAACCGGTCACGCAAAAAAACTTTCCGTTAAATCGCCCCTCCAAATATAAACCCCCCGGGGGCTTGTACTTGGAAAACTGCCCCCAAATACAAAGTAAAACAAAGCAAAAACGGCAAATTTACTTCCAACTATAAGGCTAGCCCAGTCGATTTTGAAACGAAAATTTCCCTCCGAATATAAGCCCCTCCGAAAATAAGCCCCTCAAAAAGGGTCTTTGAAAAATATAAGCCCTGGGGCTTATTTTTGGAATTTTACGTTATCTTTGTAAGTCCCAACGAGAAAAAACTGAATCCAATGAACAATCACGTGACTGACCTGCAGAAGGCCTATTAGGTAGACCTCAGCGCCCAGGTCTCTTACCGGACGACTGTAAATATATGTAGTAGACTATCACAACATGAATAAAGATCATTTTGAAA